GTGAAGTTATAGCTGCAACAAATACTTATTTTGAAGGTTTTGAAAAACCTTATTTTAGAGAAGGAATAAATATGTTAGAAAAGCGTTGGAAAAAATGTATTGACTTAAAAGGAGATTATGTTGAAAAATAAATCAATTTTTTGTTAAAAAACCAATGTCTAGTTTTTCATTCTAACGACTTTTCAATCCACCCTCGTATGTTACTTTTCATTTCAATTCAAGTGTATTACATGCGCCCCACGCTTTTCATTTTCAATGTCACTAATGGCTTATAATGACTTTTGCTAAAATTCCAAAATCAAAAGTTATTAAAAAAAATCTGTGGGACTGATAAATATTATTTTCTACTTTTTAGTCCATTTATAAAAGCGTTATATATTAAAAACTTTTATTTTACTTTTTTCCACTTTTTAGTCTTGTCTGTACAAAATTTTTCAATAGATATTAAAATAGTTCAACTTGCAGTGAAAGAGAGACTATGCAAGCACAATGTTGTTTGCTCACATTTAGTATAAACATACATATCGTCATTTAAAGTGCAAAACCGCGTATCAGCAAAATGCAAAACCACGTATGTGAAGTTGTATAAATCATTTTCTAGAGCGTAAAAACACACATATTTCAAAGTGGTTCTCTTTTTTATAAAACAATCGCATTTCTGGCTAGTATATTTCAGGACGAATGTATAAGGATTGAGCCAAGGGCTTGTGTGAGCAAATCCAATTTTTGGCAGCCAATGTCAGTTACGCGGTTTTGCAGAATGACGATACGCGGTTTTGTACTTTAAACGACGATATGTACATACATACATATAGCAGCAGTTCATTTCATTTAAAGAAATGGCGTGTCGTCCGTTTCCGCTGTGACGTATATAAATAGTGCATATATTTAGGCGCAATATTTAACTTCTTCTGGCGGGGCGACATCTAGAGTCTTCTAATTGTATCTCCTTGATATGATGCCTACAACGAGGTTGATATATAGACTACATTTATAGTAGGTGCATTCTTTTGCAACCGAGCTACAAAACAACACTCGCTTAAATGACGAAATACACGCAAAGCAACAACACAAACCCGGCTATTTATCCGAGCTCAGCCAGGTCGGTTAAAAAATACGCGACCTGAAGGCTAGTGTTGGTAAGTGAAAAAACTGCTCTATTGTGAATTGTTAATGGGAAAGTGGAGAGGGAAATTTTTGCTTCCTTTTATACGTGACTTATATTTTAAAATAGTCTATATATTACGCAAATACCTCGCATAATTACTCATTTAAATTTTTTTTTTGTATTTAAATCCCGTTAAACTAATCACATTTTCTTGCCAGCTACCAACAATTTTACCCGAATTGAGCGTTCTTTTGTCGCTTGTATAAATGGTGGTCTGGACATACAACATTCAAAGCGGTCTGGACATACAACATTGCAAGTTTTCATTTTCATTTCATTTCATTTTATTAAGTCAATGGCAACAAACCTTACTGACTAGATTAAGAGAGACACTTAATAATAATTTAACAGAATTAAGGATATGGTTAATTTGCTAAGTAATAAGACTCAATGCGTGACTTGAATAAAGACCTTGGCATCGCAAAATCAAGATCAATAGTTCTAGAAAGCCGATTAAACTCATTAAGCCCTCTTATAAGAGGGGCGAATCTAAAGTAGTTTGATCTTAAAATTCCAGTATGAAATGGTTTGTGAGAGCGAAGTACTCTATTAGGAACATTGAAACTTAACTGCCCAAGT